CTGGGTCTCATGAGAAACACCACCCCTGACGTCTCTGTCTACACTAAGTCACCCCAGCTACTCTAACCTCCTTCACAGCACAGATTTCAAGTCCATTCTTTGCTTATTTACTTATATTTTCTTTTTCTTCACCTGGACGTAAATTCTATAGGGGCAAAAGTCTTGTTTATGTTCATTGTAAGCCAGCAGAGTGCTGGCACAGGCTGGACATTGAACAAGCATGTGTTGGGGAGGGGTGTCTGATGAGAGCAACAGGAGGTGAAAACCCCAAGAAGGGTAGAGAGTGAGGCTAGAGAGCGAGACCCCAGGACAAAACCGCAGAGACTGAAAGAGCTCTGCAAATAAAACTTAGAAAAACTGAGAATGGGATGCCCTGAAAGAATTTTAGGTATGAGAGTAACCTGATAATATCCAAACAAACATTAGAGTGTTCACTATGTTTATGATTAAACATAGTATTAGTAAACATTAGTATTAGTGTCTACTATGCATTAATGTCTGAGGATCCAGGAAATCCATGTTACAACAACTATCTTTAAAAAGAAGAAATTTCCAAAGCCTTCTATGTTCAGGATCTTCCAATGATGAAAGGAGCTACAGAAACTCACCAAGATAGGAATGTTTGCTGAGCATGCCCAGTTAAAAAGCAACTGTTCCGGTAGGGAAAGAGCATGACGACTGTGGCTTTTGTTAGATAAATGATATTACGCTTGCAGGACATCAGTGGAGAAAGCTGCTCCTTACGTAAGGCTTGATCTGGTGATGCTGCATAGGTCAATGTCTGTCTGGATTATCTGTAGCGCAAATGCTAACGCTGTAAATTAAACCTATCAAATGACAGCTTCACCATAGCATGCATATCTAACCTTTAAAATTTATTTATACTCCAGTCCCTTTCCATAGCCAGATTAAATTCTCTTTCCTAAAGCTATTTTTGCCTCACTTCAGACTGGCATAATTCAACATATTCTAAACAATCACATGGAGATTATGGCCTTCCTGATTTTCAGCTCCCAGGTGATTTTAACTGGAGCTATAGAACAGAGAAATTTTACCAGGTTTAAGCCGAAAATAAGAAGAGTTTTCTCAAATTAGATTCCTCCAGGTACCAGTATGTAAATCAGTCATAATAATGCTATACTATGTAAATGCTATGAATAATTATGAATTCCTAAGTCCCTTATTCAATGTCCCAAAGAAGTGGTTCTTTCCAGCATGCAAATGGAAAGTGTTATTGTACCAATCAGTCTCTGTGTCACATCTTAATATGCACACTAAACTCCCACAAAAGTAAATACTATACTAAGCGGCAGTATTACAATGTGAACACACATTCTCATCCAATTTGAAGATGAAGCAATTTTCAGGTTTATATTTAAATTGATTAAAACAAGTCATGAAAAGTAAAGAATGGCCGTAATAGAGATTGAATAAAAGAATTTTTCAAAAACTGCTGTAATCAACTTTACGGAGAAAATATTACCTCCAATGGTTTCATTTGATGACTTGATGTTTCTTTCTGACCCAGCAGGCTTCACTTGTTTAGTTTACCTCTTTAAGCACCTTCCTGGGCCGTGACTGTTTCTATGTCTGGCACAAAAAAACACAATAGCTCACAGGCAGTCAGTGGACTCTGGACTTTGTTCTTAGGCTAGATTCCTTGAAGGGCTTCTTGTGACAAGCTTAATTGCTCACTGAACATTTCTGTGCCTAAAATTCCCAAGGAAATTATGATGTAGCACTGCCATAGTGTTTTATCAAAACTCATTTAAGACTTGATAAAACCTTAAATCAATGTCTTAAGGAAATATACAGTATGTTAGCTTCGAAAAAAAATGTAAATACCCTGCAAATTATATGTTCATAGAGATTTGAGTACAGGCATACCTCGGAAATCATGGGTTTGGTTCCAGACCACCACAATAAAGTGAGTATTGCAGTAAAGAAAGCCACACAAGTTTTCTGGTTTCCCGGTGCATATAAAAGTTATTTTAGCACTATGCTGTCATTTGTTAAGTGAACAATAGTATTATGTCTAAAAAAATCCAAGTACATACCTGTTTGGTCCTGCCAAACCCACAGTTGGAGTCACCCTAACAGCAGTGGCAGCGAAATTCCCTCTGGGTAGAGCCCCAAACCATCTGGAAATAGGGCTGGTTTGAGATTCCAAAGAAAGAAGCATTAAATGTCAGGGTGATCTGTCCAAAGCATTTATTAGGGTAACTTACTTATACACTGTTGTAGCCCATCTTCCTGATGACAGAGAGAGGAAAGGGATGTTTTACCTACAATGTTTGGAACCAGGCAGGAGGGTATGGAGTTTATGTGAAGGTTTAAGGAATTTGACTCAGGACTGGGACCAGTTTCTTTCTTTCCAGTAAACCTAGATAATTTTATCACTGTATGGGAGTTCAAGAACCCATATTGAGTTCAAGTCAGCTGAGAAAAACCTGCAGTGGTCAAGGGATATTTGGTCAGGACACAGAAAGAGAGTAGCAAAATCCAGGGTATCCAAAATACCTTAGTTTAAAAATATTTTTGCTGAGAAATACTAATGCCCACCTGAACCTTCATCAAGTTGTAATCTTTGCTGGTGGAGAATCTTGCCACCATGTTGATGACTGTGATTGATCAGGGTGGTGTTTGCTAATGGCAGGGGTGGCTGTGGCAATCTTTTAACAGTAAGATAATAATGGTTTGCCACATGCATTGACTTCCTTTCATGAGAGATTTATCCATAGCATGAACCCAAAAGCTGCTTAGTCCACATAAGAGTTAGAGGGTAGCTTTCGGAACATGGTAAGCATAGCTAACTATATACTTCATGCCAGCACTGCTTGTAGTAACCATAGGATCTGTGGGTCACAAGGTTCACAACTCTTATCGCAAGTCTGCAAGATAATTGGCTAACACTGATTCTGCTCTGCTTGCCATTTGCTGAGTTTATGTCTTGTCCCACAAAATGCATTTTTTGAAAAGTCATTGCATGAAAAAGTTTCACGAGTTCAATTAGTATGACCGTGCAGATCAACTTTTGGAGTAAGAGTTGATGGTTGAATATATGTTGCTTTTTTTTCTTTTTTTTCTTTTGAGTCTGAGTCTCACCTACCCAGGCTGGAGTACAGTGAGCCCACTGCCTCCACAGCCTCAACCTACTGGGCTCAGGCGATCCCTACGCCTCAGTCTTCCAAGTAACGGGGACTTTAGGCAGGCATCACCATCTCTGGATAATTTTTTTGATTTTTTTTGTAGTGATGAGGTTTCATCAAGTTGCCCCAGTTGGTTCAGGTAATCCTCGCCTTTGCCTCCCAAATTGCTAGAATCACAGGCATGAGCAATCATGCCTGGCTGAATATAGTTTGTAAATACACTATTATATATTATTAACTGTCGGTATCACCAATATTTCCTCACAACGTGAAATTAGTATGCCACGTACGTTTTTAATTTACATGCAAAAAAATCTGTCCTTATTTTGTGACTTGAGCTAAGTAGGGGCCTCTTTAGCTTTGCTCCTAATTCCCCTTTGTTTTGAGCTTCATATGTTTTCTTAGGATTTACAATTTTTAAACTTTACTTATCACTAATCGGTGAAGAAATATATTCTTCAAACCTGCTAGTTTTCTTGACTTAAATGGATACAATCGTTTCCTAAATGAGCGATTTTCTCCAAAATGCTCATTTTGTTCCTTTAAAAGTCTGCCCCAGTTCGTTTTTTTTAAGCACTTACTTTACTTACAGAGTACATGTTTATAAAAAAGTCAAATAACTATGCAAGCCGAGTCTCTAAATAGAAGTTCTAATAAATCCTAAGATGCTGCAGTACACTGACCGAGGACAAAACCTGATCCCTAAAGCTTTCTCCAATCTCAGGGAAAACAGCGCACAAAAGGCTTCAGTGTCCGCGTTTTTCAGGGCAGGTAAAGGTCCTGTCTGCTCCTTCCAGAAGGTGAGCAGAAAGGGTTTTCAGCTAACTGACGACCAAGTTGCCCTTGGGCACGGCCCAGGAGAACTGCGACGAGGCTTCTTCACTTTGGGGGGCCTAAATCATGAACAGTGCAGCAGGACTGAGAAGGAACAGAAGGGGAAGATTTGGCTTTGACGCCAAAAATTGCATCAGGGCTTGACAAAAACCAAAGATTCTCAATTTTTAAAATCGCTTCCTTTCAGCAGAGCTTAACCTTTCTTTATCTGTGACAACACATCAAGCGAGCAGCAGCACAATGGATGCGTGTGATTTCGAAACGCCACCGTCGGGCCAACCGCGGCCACCCGCGTGCGGGGCACGGAGGCCCGCCCCCCCCCCAAAAGCTCAGGGAGCACAGGATCCGTAGCGGGAGACCCTCCTTACAGAATCAGTTTTGCCAGGATCGGTTGTTCCCCACCGGCAAGTGCCCCCAGCGGCGCGGACACATCCTGTCCCGCCCGAGGCCGAGGCTTTCCAGGTGTTGAGTCACCGGGCCAGCGGTCATGCGACATAAATATGACTTGCTGACGGTGTGCTGGGGGCGCAGGTGCCAAGGTAAACCGCTGGCAGCGGGGACTGAGCATTCCCCGAGGCAGAGGCCAGGGCCGGCCAGGCACGCGGCGCCAGCCCCACAGCGACGGCACTGAAGTTTCAGGCAAACTTCGAGCCGCCCACGTGACCCGCGTGCACTCCCGAGAGGTCGGAACGCGGCGGCACAGGGTCTGCGGCGTGATTCCCTGCAGTCGGTGCAGGGCAATCCGTCCCGCTCCCACCGCTTCCAGACCTCAGGTTTCCTGAGCCCCCGGGCCCCGCGACGCCCACGCCCCGCCCCCGCCCGGGGACGCTTCGGCCCCAGCGTGAGCCATTCATCAACCGGTTCACACCGGCGGCGGCCGCCGCGGCTGACGTACACTGAGGGGGCGGGCCTTGGCCTCGGCTCGTCGGCGCGGGGCGCGGAATTCCGCGCTGTGATTGGTGGGCGGGGGTGCGCACGTCGCGCCGGCTATAAAAGGGCGTGCCCGTGACGCAAGGGCGCCTGGGCGCGCCGATTGGCTCGTGCGCTGCGGGCCGGCTCGGCGACGCGCTCTCCTCGGAGCCGCTCACTGCACGGTAGAGACTGGTGCCCCCGCCACCGCCTGCACCGCCGCTGCCGCCGCCCCGCGAGGACCACCGCCGCCCCCTGCCCTGCCGCCGCCGCCGCCACCGCCTGTGTCGCCGCCGCCTCGGGACCGGCTGTATGATTAGGCCACAATCTTCAATGAGTAAACATATTCCTGTGAGTAGCCGGCGGCCGCCCCTCTC